ATATGTAATGGAAGTCATACAGCAGGATAGTTACGTTTTAAAAAATGTATAACGTAATTGTCAGCAGTTGTAGCAGGCATGAGTTTAGCTAAACCTTATAAATATCTGTTGCACTAATTAACATTTTGCATAAATATTGTGTGTTGTGTGTTAAATGTCGGTTTATCTGCATGTGATAGTTAAGAGACTATGTAGATGAGTACTTGAGTAATTAAATGTTCGAGGTGCCAGTATTACTAAATACTGAATCATTGTTGTGCTGATTTGATCACGGGAAGACTGGGACAATATACAGATTGACAATTCGGTTCAAAGACCATTTTATGACTTAAAATGACTGTAAATGTGAAAGTTTGCTTGGATTTACCAGTAAGTATGTTATGTTATACTCTGCCACTACAAAACGTAAGTGCCTTACCGCAGCCTTGTTGCCAGGGACTCATTGTTAAGGACATGACAAAGAAGGCAGAGATAGTGCTTATCACTGCATAGGCTAACCTGATTCTAAGCCCATAAGTAGTTTAAATATATTTATGTAAAAAAAACAAACACATTGGCACCTCATCCACTTAAGAGGAAAAACACCTATAGAAGACGAGTCTTCATCAGCATCCATTCCACACTGCTGATCCCCAAAGCTATATATCTGTGCCACCTGGGAGCCCATAGATGCTCTTTTAAGTCTTAGGATCATCTAAAGTATGTTATTAAGTATACTCAGGACAAGGGGACGCTCTTTGTCAAACTGGAACTTTCTTGGAAAAACTGGAACTTCTCGTCACCTTAGGGGACGCAGGAATGGAATTAGAACGCACCATCCTCTTCTGTCCTTTACTGAGGAACTGATAAGAGCATGACGGGTCTTGGAGGCTGTGGAGAAAGACAGTTTTTTTTAATTGGGTTTGGAGCATTTGTCTCTAAAGTGTACAGACACTTTTCATACCAAACCCACCTTTCACAAGTTTGGACTGCCGTCCAACTTACCCTTAAGATTACCGTAAAACCTGGTCACGTTTTCTTTGGAACAGCCTAAAGAGTTTGATTTAGTGAATGAATCACAGTGATTCACTCATACTTGCTATTTGATTTCATTGACTCCTATATGAGTCATTTCATTCTTTTGTTGTCTGTGGCAGTTCTACTGTATTCCATCCATGTCTGTTCTTCATCTTGAAGGGCTCGTGAACAGTAGAACGTTTTCTTTATAAAACAAAAAAAACAAAACTGCAGCAATTAGCTTCCTACCTCAGAACTGCAGGCCATTTGAGACTTTTTTGCCCCAGTAATCACCTAACTGAGATAATCTACCCTGAACTGAGTGCATCCTATAAATTGTTCATGCAGCTGATTGAGAAACCTCATTTTGACATGCTGGAGAGACTTTATTGCACCACAAACCTTTTAGCATTAGAAGATTTGAGGGCTTTGGTAATGAAGTCTGTCAGATGGCTCAAAAAAGTAATAAGTCACGGTGACCTGCTTTTTGAAAGCCACACAATGCGTAATAGGGGTCTAGTCTGTTTGAAATCCAATTTATTATTTTTTTCCACTTTTCGAGTTAGTGACAGGAAAGGTGATGCAGCAGTGTTACGACACTGTTAATGATTTACTAGAAACATAATAAAACAGATGCATCTTCACATCTACTCTGCCTTTGTAATAACAAGTGCAGTCTTGATGCGGCTTACAACTTGTGTTCAACACACCCCCCGCGATTAAGCCGCAAGTTTGAGTGTAGTTCTTTGAAAAAGCCTGAGGAGTTTTATTGATTTTGTAACTGAGTCACAGTGGTTTACCCGTATTTGCCACTTGATTTCTTTGACCTGTCCTTGACTTTGCGTCATTTCTGTGACTTCCTTGAGTCATTTCGTTTATTCTGTTATTTGTGACAGTTGGGCCCAAGGCACTTTGGCTGAATGTGCTCCTACTACTGAAGATTATGTGAATGTCTACTAGGGCTGCACTATGTATTGTTTGTTAACTGTTATCACGATATACTGACGTTGCAGAAATGCAAATGAGCATCTTACACATCAATAAATGTCTTATTGCGTCCCATGAAAATCCAGATCAACCCACTGTTCCAGATGGTTTCTGTGGATGTTCAGAAGAATAAATACATTCATATGATCCAACATATGTTTAAATGTATGCTAGCTAACCTCACTTCACTATTTGTTGAGTAATGTATAGCTAAGAAACTGTAATGGTATTGAGGGTGATTGGCTGAATCTATCCTGTCATCAGAAGTACTTGCATATTCTTTTTGTCCTAAATAGTTTTTGATAATTCAGTTTTTTTAGCCTCTTTGTTTATTAAAATAGCATTGTCTACTATACATAACCATGGGAATTGGTGTAGTGTAACTATAGAAACTGGAAATGGAGCATGAAAATTGGTCTAGAGTAACTATGGGAATGGGTGTAGTATAACCATGGAAATGGGGGTAACATAACCGTGGAAATGAGTGTAGCATAACCGTGGAAATGAGTGTAACATAACCGTGGAAATGGGGGTAACGTAACCGTAGAAATGGGGGTAACGTAACCGTGGAAATGGGATTAGCATAACCATGGAAATGAGTGTAACATAACCGTGGAAATGAGTGTAGCATAACCGTGGAAATGAGTGTAACATAACCATGGAAATGAGTGTAGCATAACCGTGGAAATGGGGGTAGCGTAACCGTAGAAATGGCTGTAGCATAATGATGAAAATGACTGTAATGATGGAAATTAGTGACCCATGGAAATGGGTCTAGCATGCTGATCCATTTGTCAGTGGTGTACTCGTACTTAAGATGAATTTTTCTGAATTTACCACTAAGAGTAGATCTGCACTATTTAGCAATTTTCTCTGCAGTCTCTAGCTATGCCTGTGTATCAGTGTGCCTTTAATATGTTGCAAGGTGTATCGTAATCACACTATATATCGTGCAGACCTAACATCTAACCAGCTGCCCCAACACACAGATGTTGGGTCACTTGTCCTGTCTCTTATTTCCCTGGGCTGTTCTCATCTGTCTTCAGGGAGCATGAGCTCCAGAGGAAAGGAGGAAATGAGAGGCTTCTCTCGAGGGAGCAGCTCAGAGCTCTCTCTCTAATTACAGAACACCATCACCTCTCTGTCTAACACAAAGCTGAGCTATGCAGGGACATGACTGCCATTATAGGAGAGCTACACTGCTCATCAACAGTTTGGGAACACTTAGCGTTTCAAAAATGTTTTCAGTACATATAAGAATGCTGTCATTTTGTAAAAGCTTAAAAGCTTTGAAACAGTTTCTTTAGTAAAACTGCTGCATTCAGGAAACGACTTACATTTTGTCTTCTGTCATCCAGCAGTTCAGCTCTTTATACCAAGGATGGCACTTTGATGAACATGAAGCTGAGTGTTGGACCAAAATAAACCCAAAGGATTTGTTAATAGCTGCTTTATGTGAACAAAACCTTTGCAAGGAACTTTTCCTCACTTAACTGAACTGCAGCAATGAAACTAAAGCAGTCTAAATCCCCAAAGCTCTGATGGCAGTGTCCTAAGCAGTTTGTTTAGCTGTCCTTCAAAGGTCACAGCATGATTTTAGCCGCAAAAACTGTACACTCTGTTCAGTCTGATAGCATCTGCAATCTTCCCAAGCCACGCCCATTGTTTGGGTAATGATGTCAGCGGGGGAAATGCGTAAAGCAAGCGTTATGTGAGGAAATGGGAGGGAGAAACAGGACTGATTATAGAGATGTTATTCAGAGCCTTAGTTATAAATACAGCTGGGTGTGTTTTTAGCCTTTTTACGACTGAGTTCAGCCCTGCCTCTGAAAAGATGGCAGTTTCTAGAGTTTGGAGTTGCACTGGAAGTTTCAAGAGGGTGTCTTGAGTGTTGGAAAATTATGCCTTCATGGCTTTTTTTTTTTTAGCAGCTGGCAGCTTCGTTTGAGGCGTGAATGTCCAAGTATAACGTTTCAAGTTGTTTTTAAAATGATGTCTTGGTTTTGGGTGTTCTATAGTGAATAGTTTGTATTGAAGGAGGCGCGTGGCTCTTTAAGATGAATGGCTGGTATAAACTATGGCTGTAAAGAGAGGGAGGAGGTGACTGCCGGCTGGAGAATGTCTGCGACCCACACAGTTACACATATATACACGTGTATATATACACAAGGCTCAAGTTACTGCAGAGGCTTTAGAACGGCAGCTGAAGGGGAGGGGGTAGAGACTGGGAGTGGAGGGAAAGGGGGCTAGTGAGAGAGATTCAACCAGAGAGAGAGGCAGGCTTCTGCTTCTCAACTCCAACAGCCTGTATCCATCCTGCTATCAGGCTATTATTAGCCCCACTTCCTCTGCTGATCCAAAGGGGCTTCCCTTTGCTCTTTAGCCAACATATGCCATCATATTTGGACATTGGTACAACAGTCTTAATATTCAGATTTTGTCCTTGGCTCTTTCATTCACTCTCTTTTCCCTCTCTCACTTTTTCTTTCTTTCTTTCTTTCTTTCTTTCTTTCTTTCTTTTCTTTCTCTTTTCTTTTGAACTTTCCTCTCTTTTTGTTCGCTCACTCTCTCCTTCTCCCAACATTGTTCCCTCTCTTTTTCTCTCTGGATATCTTCTTCTTTGTTTCTCTTAGTCTATTCTCTTTCTCCTTCTTTTGTTCTTCCTTTCACTTTCTTTTTGATTTGTCTTGCCTCTCATTTTTCTTTTTCTCTCTTTTATTTTAATTTTCTCTCCCTCTCTTTCTTGCTTTCTTGCTCTTTTTCTTTCTTTTTCTTTCTTTCTTTCATCCTTTCTCTTTCTCACTCTCTTTTTCTGACTCACTCTCTTGAACCTCTTGCTCTTCTCACTCTTTTCTTTCTTTCTCACTTTTCTTACTTTTCACTTTTTACTCTCACCTCTTTTGCCCTTTTTTCTCTTTCCTCTCTTTTGTTTCTCTTGCCTCTCTTTTTTCTTTCTTTCTTTCTTTCGCTCTCTCCTTTTTGCCCCACCCCGTTTCTCACTTTCTCCAGGCCAAATCCTCCTCTCTTGGTCCTCCGGACTCATTTATATTCCCGCCATCTCTCTCCGTAATTAGTTTTCCGGACGGAGGAATTCCCTCCCCTTCTCTCCCGCTCGCCCCATCCACAGAGCCAGGGAGAGAGGCAGAAGGAAAGAAGAGATTTAGCGGCCGTACAGTCGGCAGTAGCTGGAGGAATAGTGGCTTTTTTGTCCAATGACGATCTTTATCCTGCCAGAGCGATGCTGGTGTGCGTAAAGATAAAAAGTGGAAAAAAGCTAAAACAGCAACATGTGGTGTCTGCAGTGCACATCAGACAGGAGCCAGTCTCTGCTGGAGCTGGAGCTGGACAACTGGTAAGCTTTTAGACTACGGTGTCAGTAAGTGTCCTTACATCTGTGTAAGGACACTTGCTTGTGCGCCTGTGTGTGTGTGTAGAGGAAGTATTTTGTATGCGTGTGTGTGAGAGACATTGCCGGTTGAGCAGGAGAGTTGTTTCATTTTGAAAAAGTTTTTTGGTTTGTTTTGTTGTTTTTAGCACAATCAAGCCAGTTGTAGTTTTTTTGCACTTTGTTGTGGATGCTGTGCCCTTTATGGCTCCTTTTGCACTGCTTTGCTTTCTACATTGCTTTGGTACTGTATATGTTTTTTGTAATCTATCTTTATTCAAATTAGGGTCAGACTGATTATATTGGTCAGCTGATATTGGTGAACCCCAGTTTTACTGCGAACAATTAGCAACATTTTCTAGTTGCGGCATTACAGGGATTCAGACTTGTGACCTCCTGATGATAAAGCAAAACCTTAAACAGATGTGCCACTTGGGGAGACTCTCACTGTTTAACTATATCATAGCAATACAGACTAAATTGGTGAATCTAAACACAGCACAGCATCATGGTTAGTAAAACAAATATGCAGATGCCTCCAAATCTCGATTCTTAGATGCATCGCGATGTGGACGTGAACAATTCTGAATCGATTCATAAATGTCAAAAATCTATTTTCTAAATATTATATTATAATTATATTTAATTTATATTGTAATGTTGACGGAACGCAAAGGGCGGAACTTGGAAGTGGGTAAGTCTGTGGCGGCTCATAACAAAAACACAATGGGATGAGTGAGAAATCCAACCGGCGCCCTCTGCATTAAAAGCCAGGTTAGGTCAGGAGTCACAACCCAAAGGTTAAGAAGAGCCATTTTGTCCTTTCAACAAAAATCAAACCACCTTGGGAACCGCAACATTTATGTCCAGTATGTGATAATGTGCTAGTTTAAGCTAAAAAATATAAACGAAAACACAGACTTACTCTGCTCTTCTTTAAGCTTTAGCTATAGCCACTTTTCTTCCAACTCCGCCAGAAAATTTTTCCTCAAAAGTTGAATAGTTTCTTGTAAAATGTCTCTCAGCTTTTGGCTGTTTTACGTGGCTGAAGTCGCTTCTCACTCGCCAGCTTCTTGCTGAACTTTCCCGTTTCCACCTTAAATTCTGACTGAGGCGCAGAATGTAAAAACGGCACCATTTAAGGTGGAACAGGAAAATTAGAGAAGTGACTTCATCTTCGCAACTTTTTACTTAGTGTTTGACAGTCTCTTGTTGCAGATTTAACGTAGGAAACCAACTGCGCTGCTTATAAATGCAAACAAGTCCATTTGTCTCCAAATGTTCGTCTGTCTTTCTCTTTTCCTTTTTCTTACACTACTAGCCAGGCGAAGGTGCTGCTAGGTGACCTGCAGTCTTTCAGGTAGAAAAAAAAGATGCATTGAGATCCATCGATAATCGTTTTATAATCAAATCGCAGCCCTCTGAATCGTAATCGAATCGAATCGTGAGGTGCCTAGAGATTCCCACCCCTACTATTGACAGCTGACAGTCATACCAGTCAGTAAAACACTGTTTAACCAAAAAAGTCCAGATTATTACTAAATTTAAATCTAGATCGTAAATGTAAAATTATATCTACCAGTATTAATGTTTATCTTATTTTTTTCACATAATTTCACAACGGACACTAATTCAAATATAGCATAACATATGGACCCAATGTCAATTTTATCCTTCCTGTAGTGTCTTACAGTTTAGTCTCTTTCCAAGTGGATTCTCATCAGAATCAAATTTATTTGGCATATACGTTTGTCTTGGTATTCAACTTCAGAACATTTTACATCCACATATTGCACTTTCGATACTCTTTAATGCAGTTGATGCTCTCAAGGCATTCCTCCCCACCCACTAGCATCTAACGTTAACCTAAATGTTTGCGTTCGACTACTGTTTATGACTGGAGTATTATGAATAATGAATATATTATGATGCAGGTTGTGATTTGTTCTGAATATGGTTATAATGGATGAGATGCATTGTGAATAAGAGAGAGATAAACAGACTTCATGGCTGGATCTTTCTCCAAGAAGAAATTGGAGGTCATGGGTTTGCATTTGAGTCGGTGTCTATGTGAGGGGCCGAATAAAGATTTTAGAGGGCCGTATTGCCACAGGCCCCCCTGCACCCTGGGCCCCAGTATGCTTGCCCCTCCACTGTACCTCCAGTAGTTAGGCAACTGCTTCAGTGTGGATGGTATATATTGCAGTATTTCAGCAAATCCCACAGATGCAGATATCATACTGTGTATCTGTGGTGTGTAAGACTGATGAGAAAAAGAGAATAAATGCGCTCATAATTGTCTGAAAGTGCAGCTTCCATAAGGCTTTCATACAATTCATTAGGAGCTAAGAGCCACTCTCTTTACAAATGTATTAAAGCTAATGAATAGCATTCAGCTCTCTGTGGGAGATGCACTCTGTGTTGTCTGTTTCTGTGTTCCGTGGTGGTGAATGTTGCTTGTTTTGGGGCTCACTGCCAAAGTTTCCTCAGAGAGTGCTGGAGTTTGGTTTTATTCATCACACAGCATTCAGCTGTGTATTTATTAGACAAATAGATCAGTCTCAGCAAAATGGGCTGTACAGAATATTAATAGTGAGCAAATAAATTTACTGCCACAAAAGGCATCACATATACACTATCCAAAAGTATCCAGACACCTTTCTAATTAGTGAATTCACCTGCTTTAAGGTGCACCTGATGCTGACACAGGCAATCCATTGCCCACCCACAGCTTGTATAATCTCATATACATGTATAACAGAAAAAAGCATTGTCAATAGAATGGGACACTCTGGAGCAGCTACACTTGGGCCTAAGATCACCATGCCCAATGCCAAGCGTCAGCTAGAGGGGTATAAAGCCCCCCAGCATTGAGCTGTTCAGCAGTGGAACTGCATTGTCTGGAGTGGTGAGCGCCATCCAGTGCCTTTTAGGATGAGTCGGAGTGGCATTTGTGATCCAGAACTAATTATCCATGAGCCTGATCTCACTAATGCTCTTGTGGTTGAATGCAATTAAGTCCTCACAGCAAATGTTCCCACATCTAGTGTAAAAGTCTTCCCAGAAGAAGCAGAAGTAATGGCTGTTGCTGCAGCAATTAACACACTTGATTTATGAAGAAACATGATTGTTAATGAATCGAATCAAAATGAACCAAGTTTGCGTGCAACATTTTTGATTCCACTAATTAGCAAGCTAGTTAGAAGCTATTATTTTATAATTATTTTGGAATTTTGTTTTATTGTCAATGATGTGTCAATTTCATTGTAATGGCATAGTTTGATGTGATTACATGCTATGGTATCGTCTTGATTGGTTGTTTATGAAAGTTTTTTCACAAAGTTTAGACAGTTGCTGGGTACCAAACATGTTTCAAGAGACTTGCAGGAAGCTTACATTATTCAATGCAAGTGAAATTTAGTTTCATGAAAGAACAAAGTCATACAGTAGCAAATGTGCAACGATTCTCATAAGAAATTGCCTTTCCAGGTTTTATATGTTCCAGACTGTCCACAGTAAGCGAGAATTTGACATGCACATGTAGTCAGAGCACAGTCAGTAAAAAAGGAAATGCCGTATGGAATATATCTGAACATGTGTTTGAATTGCAGTTTATTTATATACATGCACGTGTATTTTCTAATATGGACACATGAGTAACTACATCAGTTGGGCCATCTGTTACTTGGACAGTTTAACTTTCTTTTGCCAACTTCTCTAGCATTAGCATGGCCTACTCAGTGTTCTGACCTCTAATCTAATCCGCTCATTTATTAATGTTGCCAACAGGCACCAACTTGTGCATATTCAAGACCTCCTTTTTATGCTGCCCATCAGAAATTTGGAGACTCTTTGTCTTCTTTTGAAATTTTCCCAGTTTCCCTTCAGTTACATAAAACAAATGTGTGCAAAGATTTTGTTAGCGTAAAACAGCTATTTACTAGTTCTTTGGGTATAATCGACTTCAGAGCTATAAAGAGTATAATTCATAATGTGAGTGATAACTTTAACATTCATTATATATTTACTTTCTCAAAACACCAAACCTTCTCAAATGGTCGCTGTTATGGATTTAACCAACTACTGTGTCTGTGTGCTGATTAAACTAAAGCACACGCCACTATACTCTATACTAAACTATGACCTCATATGCTGAACTTGGAGCTGAGAACATCTTCTTGACATTGGAATTCTAAGATGAGGGGGCATTTTCTTTGGTTTATCCTAGTTGGGGGCTACAAGCTGTAGTGGCTTTTGCCAGTTGGTCCTTTAATTTTGCAGTTTGCACAAAGAAAATGGCAAGATTTAAACAGCTTAAGGTGCAGCCATGCTCATTAGTATTAAAACATTTTGAAAAGCTAGGTGTCCCCCACCCTTTGTCAACTACAGTGCTCAATCTGACTACAGATCCACTTGATCCTTCTTTGAAGCAGTGACATAAGCTTTGAAAAGAGATGATGAATAGTAGATATTGTCAGGGTGGCCATAAACACTGTGATTAAGACATGAAGGAGAGAAATGACTCCCAGCTTTCAGATTTCTGCTGGCAGACTATCAGACGTGTCCCCGTCTGACCCTGGCCAATGCGAATGTGACAGAGGTTCTGATGCTGCTGCCGCCAGAGGTGTCCTTTTCTGCTTTGTCACTGCTATCTTGTCATAATTCTGTCATCAGCTTCCAAACCAAAGTATCTCCAAATTTTCATAACATCGTGTTGTCAGTCAACTTTCATTCTTGTTGTTGCCCATTTTTTAAATCAGTTTTTGTCCAATTCAAATGGTCAGTCTGCCCTTTTAGAATTCATTTATTCAAAATTAATACAGATTTTATTTTCTTATCTGTATTGATTGAAATCAGTCTTTGCCCTCTATGTGCCATGAATGCTGGACCTGTCTACTTTGTATAGGTAGGGAGAAGCTTCACAGCTCCAGGAGGACATAAGCAAAAGTAAGCAGTGTTAACATAAG